GGAAACTATGATATTTACTTCTGCCATGTTCATTTTTAGAGAGAAAGTTGACTAATTATCCAGATCAGGTTGCTATAAGATAATATGTTGATGTGGTCGCATTCGAGTAGTTCAGTTTATAGTCTCGATATGTGTTCTATTTCTCCATTACCATGACCTTCGATTACTCTTTTGCAATGCTATAGTCTGCATGTAGAAGTCTTAATCAAAATGTGGCCAGGTTCTGATAAAATTGTCTAAAAAAAGAAGAGCCAAATTTTTCTTCTAATAATATTTCTATCGGATCGAGTGAATAGTACAGTGGTGTATGATTAAGAAATGAGACCTAGTATTTTTATGTTGTTTGAGATTCTGGAAAGCAGAAAGTGCTTATTGAGTAGTTTACTTTGCTCCTGAACAGTTCTGGTTAGAAAGTTGTGTGCATTGAGAAGGCATGATTCTGAAAGTGGTATTATCAACGAAGAAATGACCTCTTGCTTTGAAGAACAAATGTGAGGAATTTGCGAGTGACTACCTAAATCGTGCTTGCAAGTGAATGCAGCTCAAATGAGGGTGAGGCCTTTTCGCTGAAATGGACAACTATCGCGTTTATCGTCCCATCGGTTGACGGAATTAGCCATCATGTGAATGCCTGAGGAAGAGACCAGATTATGCCTATAAGAGCTGGATAAAGCAGTAGTTGATAAAGGGAGCTTCAGTAAGTTTGTCGAATCTAACAATGTATAATAGAGTTAATCGTTGCAATTTTGATGTGGACAAATAGACTGACCAATCGAATCAATAAGCAGAAGAAAGATTGCGGTGGCAATATTCAGTCTTGACAACGAATATGGAAGCTGGACGAGGCAGAGGAAAGGACAAGAAACTAATTGAAATAGAAAAAGTGGAGGATGGCGGGAAGAAGTGGAGTAGAAATGGTTTCCCAATCAAAACCCCATTTCCACCGTCCTAAACTCACCCCAGAAACGTACAGCTTGCGGGTATTCATCATCCATTTTTCCTTCATTGTTCGCTCCCTTACTCTCTCCCTCCCTCATTCTCTGTTTCTCTTTCGTTCTTCATTTCTTGCCTTCTTCCTCTCTCTATCTCTACCTCCATCTCCATCTCCTCCCTCTCTCCATGTGTGCGCACACAAACGTCCGTCCCTCATTCTTCACTCGTCGGCTGGCCGACAGCTGGGCGTCTACTCTGCTGCTATCCTGTCAAGTAGGCAATAGTGCGTGCCACGTCATAGCAACCTCTGGCTGAAATGTTCGCTTTGCCTTCATCTGGCCTGGGTCTTAGTTCTCCTCTCTCCTTTCTCCATGCTAAGACGTGAGCCACATCAGCCAACGGCCAACGACCAAGGGCCGAGGACCATCGAGCATCGACCAAAAGCTTCACGGAAGCTGGGCTGGTCTGACAGGACCGGGTTCGCGGACCAGATTTCGCCTCGCTTCCTGGTTAGGTTTGACAGGTCAGCCGATAGACAGCCCACATGAATACCAACCCAGCATCAAGGGCTCACCCTGTAAGCAAGCGAAGAGGCGTGCACAAATAGCAACAGGATGCGGCAGGCATCATTACCAAAAGGGGATATGAAATCTGCTCTGGCTCTTGTTCAACTCATCAAAAGTCTTTCTACCGCCTAAAGCTGCCATCCGAAGAAGGATTAACCGCAGGAGGCCAAGGGGCACAATTACTATTCAACCAACGCTATAGACTGTGTAGTAAAAGCTGAACAGGTATAGTGAATTCGCAATACGGTTTGACGTCAGGAGCTGGTATTTCATACAGTTCACCTGCAAAAGGTGAAATGCATCAACAGCATTGGGCCTCAAAGCAAAAACATAAAAACGTATTCGAAGATATGAAGACCAGGACGGTGTGGCCTTTTGTATGGTGGCGGTCTCCTTGAGGCAGAGAGTAGAACAACGCCTTGACTAGCACGGATACGGTGGGGTGAAATCACTGAACCAGGAAGACAAGGGAAGGATCCTACGGAGGAAGAGAGGACTCTGAAGGAACCGAAGAGAGAATTGTGGATTGAGCCACAGCCTTGGATAAACATATACGGCACAGTGGGAGGGATGAGGAAACCAGCGGGGAGTGTGAATAGATTTCGAATAGGTTTAGATAAAAGAGTATGAAATTGTGATATTGAAAGGGTGATACGAGGATGTAGAAGTGAATAGGTCAGGACGGAAGGAGAGATACCACAACTGTTTAGCAGACACTTGGCCAAAGAATCGACTTCACTTGTTTCTTTGACGAGTTGGAGTGTGGTGCCAAGAATGGCAAGGCCCCGTGACGATGCCGGCGAAACTTCTGGGAATGTACAAAGTCCATGGTCCGACTCTGGAAATGATCATGCATACTATGGACTCAGGACAAGGTAGTTTTCTCTAGGTCTTCCTGCGAATATGACCAAGTGGCAAAACCCAGGTCAAACAACTTCGGTAAAAACTTATTGTCTGAATAAGAGGGTTGCCGTCATTATCGAAGTTGAATGACTGCGTTCAGCAAAAAGCCTTAAAAGGACATAAAATGGGCTATGATGCAAACGAGTGGTTTCCAAACTTTTCCCAGTTACGGCGCCCTTTTTTAATTAAAATGTTTCCATGGCGCCCTAACCTAAGTATGACC